CGTGTTCTGATGTTGGAATATTGATTTGTATTTCTGACGGTAGATCTGTCACATCCAAAGCTTCGCCACTCTCATCTTTAAGAACAAGGCTGATAACGTTTGATTTGACCCTACTGCTACTATGGTGTGTTGTGTAGGGGTTGAAATTATAGTTGATCATCTAAAACGAAACAAAAATAAAGATATATTGAATAAATGAACGTCATTCAACCGACTAATTAGACTAATGCTAACTGGACCAATGCAATGCAACGATAAAGGGACCTAATGTTAATGAGACTAAACGTCCTCTGGACCAATTTTCTTGTTGGTCATGATGAAACGATAAGTGGACCAAATGGTTTCTTGTAGCAACAAGAAGTCTGCCCGAAACGTTAACATGTTAACCACTGGTCTGACCGGTTTTAAAGATTAATTACCATTTTGGATTTTGATGGTCCAAATAGTCATGAGCTGAACCTTTAAAATATTAAACAGCTTTAATTGTGGTAATGCAAAGATAGATGTTCGAAGGAGAATAAACATGATCTCTAACTAGCCATGATTGAGAACTAAACTACACAAACTGAATTAAGCATTATTGGAAATTCTTCTTTAATTACTACCATTTCATAGTCCAGAGTTTGACCTACATACCTCTACTCCTACGTCAGATGTATTCCCGGATATCTTTTTTAGATCTTTGTCATCCAGAGAGGGAAGTTTAAAGCTTGCTTTTCCTTCCTGGATTGTTAGCTGGTTGAGATCGTGCGATTTTTGTTTGCCCAGAATAGCGGATTGATGCTGATTTTTCATCACGATATATTCTTCTCCGGGTAGCTTTAGCGAGAGTAGTATGTTGGTAATCTTCTCTCTCAGATTCTGGCAAAGACCAAGAATTCTCTTTCCTATGGTTACCTGGAAATAATTGCAGTTTGAGGAGCTTAAAAATGTTTTAAGATTAATAAATGTGCAATACTTTAATTAACTTTTTGACACAATCAAAACACCTGCTATAGCTAACGCACACATCTTCACGTGTATCAGGTTGTTGATTTAATGTGTTAGTAAATTACTCAAGGAGGTCACTTTTCATTACGAGGCATGCGCAAGATGGGCTTCTCGTGCAGAGGCTTGACCATGTCCAAATTCAATTTGAAATTCATGATCACGTACCTCATTTTCCTGGTCGTAGCTGGTGGAATTGATAGCCTTAAGGATTCTACGAGAGGTATATTCCATGATATTTGTATTGCAATGCATTAACGATCTGCCTCCATTATTAGTAAGGCGGATCTCCCCTGAACGGCGGTCAGTCAGTAGAGAAAGCAGAGAGGACATTTGCAGAAGTTTTTCTAACAAAGCAAACTGAAAAGAGCAAATTAAAACTAGTTAAGTATATTCACTGGCAATGCTAAAAGCTTGACCAAGAATGAAAACCAGAGCATCATGTGTGGGGTTGCTATACTTATTCTGTACGCGTTTACGTCATGTGTTGTTCATTAAATTCTGACTCTCTCGATTAATTAAGTAACTGGGTCTTTTTTCCGTTTCCAATAAACTCGATTTTTTTTCATGTTCCTAGTTACCGTATAATCATAACGATCCTAACTATGATCTACAAAATATATTCTGCATACCGTTGTATTGTGGAAGACATTGCCTGCATCCTCCGTGGCTTTGCCTAAAATAACAGCAATCTGCACTAACCGTTCGAGGCTATCGACTCTTACTTTGCAAATCCTGGATATTACGTATTCCTTAATCTGTAAATAAACAACCAGTCTGTTGAGCCTCAATAGTTTCTTAAACACAAGAAAAAGTTTCTAGGAATGAGCAATGATAAGAAGTTAGAGTCAGTTGAATGAGGCTTTTTATCTTGAAGTGATTAGAATGGTGTTAAAAAGTTAACTCAGCTTTTATTGTTGTGTATACAAAATGCAATCCAATGCAGATATAACGCTGTTGTCTCTGTATCTCAGTGTAATTAACTAGAGGTACCCTGGTATTCATTTTCGTAAGCAATAGCTCATTCAAGGTCTTGAAGACTTTCAATTATCCTAGTAATTCAACTTTGCTCGTGTGACTAGACTGTGATTAAACGGCCTCTCCATTTCAGCTAAACGCACTATGAAACATTTTCAAGACTTTAATGTATGATCAAGCCTTTCTTTGCTTTTTATTTACCAATTGCTTGAAAAACCACCCTATTGAAAACTAAGTTCATAACTAATTGCTCTAAACTTACGTGAAGCAGGAAAGTTTCGTTGATCCGATAGTCAGCCGCCTTGAGAAGTGCGAGGAGAGAATCTGTTTCTTGTATCGCCAAATTTATCTCACCCAGAGAATAATAATTTTCCATCGCATCAAGAATTTTGTTAATTTGATTGTAAAGTAGTTCTTCGCTTTGTGTTAAATCTGATTGATTAACCTGTAAAGTAAAGAAGGGACAGTCGATAAATCTAAAGTGAACCCGATGCAAAGGCGCCAGTGTTTTACCTTTAGACGTACTGCACGCTTGTCTTTAGATTTTTGCCACTCGTATTATATCAAAGTAGAACGCATTTTCTGGGGGTAAATATTCACCATGCAACATGTCTGTCAGACTGCCTTTAAAATGCGTGCTCCTGCTTCAAGGGAAAAACCGCCGCTGGGAGTAAAGTGTCCTGCCAATAACCTCTTAGGCCGAAGGTCTCCACTTTCTATGCTAGAGATTCTGGAAGGCGGAAAAAGGTGGGCGTTCTCTCTGTTTGTTACGGCGATACAGTCTTCTTTTTCCCTAGGAAATACAGGGCTTTGGCCTGAAATATTAATTACAGTATTTACTGGTAACTTGACCTACAGGTTATAGCTGCATCAGTGACAATAGGTTTCTGTGTTTTTGTAAGAATACTGCAAGTGTAGCGTAGAAGTCATCCCGACATTTTTTTTTAAACCCAAACCATGCATACCTTGATCGACAACCCTATTTCTCTTGCGACTTCCGCGACATTGACAATGTCAACTTTAAGACGAACAACATTTTCTCCGAACAAGGGAGAAATATGAACTACGGTGAAGGACTGTACCCCATACGACAACATATCGTATTCCCCATGGTCTGATGCATGGTAGAATTCATATGTGAGAGGAACTCTGCTATCATCCCATCCATGACAGGATATGTTGAGCCAAACGCCAACAGCGGTCTCCATAGTAAGTTGCGTGACATGACATGTTCCACCCGATGGGCCACCTAATGTGTCAAACTGGTAGGCTGCCCATCCGTATGAACCATTTGGTAACAGAGCATCTACTGTGATTCGGTATGACCAACCAGGTACAAACATTTGCTGCTTGACTACCAGGTATTGGGAATCCTCTTGCGTAGCCAAGAAATTTAAAAAATTTGTATGGGGAATCCATTTGGAATATAGAAGACTAGCATTTCTTCTTAACATTTTCCATCGATATTTAAGGGACTTGGGACAACTAGCAGTGATGCAGTCAGTTCGGACGGAGATACCAGATGATGTTCTGGCTGGTGATAAACAGTTTAGGACGCACCTGAAAGAAATATATCAAAGACAATTGAAGACAAAATTCCTTCCTCGCATTGTGCACTACACCGGTATAGACCATTTTACAGTTTCCTGTTCAGTGACCTGGCCTTTGAATGGCAGAGAGGCTGGAGGTGACCTTGTTTTGATACAAACCTCACTTCTTTTGTTGCGTAAAACAAGTTGTTCTAATGCAAACTAGGTGCATTTACGTGACAAAAGCAGTGAGGTCTGTATCAAAGCAAGGTCACCTGCAGCCTCGCTGCCATTTAAAGACCAGGTGACCGAGCAAAGAACTGTAAAATGGTCTATTACTCGGTGAAATCTCCCACACCACACTGGGACAGGGTCAAAATTTGTTTCATTAGAGGCCATGTTGTTGCCAACCTTCCACCCATAAATTCTTAATACCTTTGTGTTAGGAGATCAGCTTACAATGTATGTCATGAATGTGCTTTGAAGTTTTTATTCAGTTTGATGGAGGTTCTTTTTAGTGGACCCACGTAGCCACTTTGTCATTTGGATTACCTTTCTTAACCGTTTGCATGCACAAGGGATGCACAAAACAAAGACACGTCCATTTGGTGGTTTTGGGAATTTACTAGCACAAGAGGCTCACTCCAAGGGTCCCAGGCCATGTTAAACTTACATTATGCGAATGTCTACGAGCTCTCCATCATGGATGTGGACAATCTGCATCGCACTCTCTTTTCGGTGGTCTTTGCCAACTGTCAGCAATAAATGGTATGTCTCGTTGCTGATCAGTTTCTCTGGGTCCAAAATCGCTTTTCTATTTTCTAATAATGGTAGAAATATATCGCCTGGCGATTGGAAAAGAGTTCCATCAGCGACTGATTCAAGAAGAGTATTTATTACGTTTCCCGAGCTTTTGAAAAGCATGCCGGTAGCTGCTTTGTTAAAACCAGAGACGTTCTTGCTCGCAGCTCTGAAACAAGACCAGTTAAAGGTCATTCCAAAGGAAGTTCCGTCTTCATTCTCAGGGTCGTAAGAAAAGCTAGCATCCAGCAAGATTGGCTTGCTGATAGATCGATAAACTTCAGATCCTCCCGCAATGGAAGCTACGAGAGCTGATGTTTCTACCAGTAGGAAAGCGAAATCTCGAGCAGCCAGTTCAATTCCGGGCACTTGCAATTCAAATACTACAAGTTTTAGTCCTGTTGACAGTAACTCTGGCACTATATTGAGCTCACGAGAGTGGTGCACTAAGAGCTCTGGAGTATCCGAAATGTTGAAAGGTGACAGTGTAAGCTTTTCAACTCTCCAATAAAACGAAGCTTGTCCTGAATGAATGTTTCCCAAGTTAAAAGACGCCACGAGCTTCCTTCTTTGATCGCGTCTCAACTTGATTGGACTGTCTGGTTGTGTGTCTGTATAACGGATTGACACTTCATTTAAATGAGCGAGAGTATTACCTGAAAAGCAACGTGAAACACATCAAAGTTAAAATATTAAGTCGAATTTCGGACAAAACCAACGCTACTACCACCATCACCACCACCACCACCACCACCACCAACATCACCATCACCTTTATCACCGCTACTACCAGCAGCAGCAGCAGCAGCAGCAGGAAGAACAAAAACAACAACGTACAACGACAACAACATTTGTTTCTCTTTCTTGAACGTGCATCAATGCGGTGGTACTCGAATTGAAATGGATATCCATTTTTCGTTATAACTTAATAGGTCTGTCATAATCTTGGTCACAAAGTTCTAACCTGTTGTGGTAGAAGCTGGTCTGCGTGGAAATATAAACCATCTAGACTGGATTAACCAAGTGCAGTAAATTCCTAACAATGGTTTAGCTCGTTGCTTCACTCTACTAAATTGATTTACGTCCTTCCATTTCAACTGGTATCATGGCAAATTCAAGGTTTACCCACCGGGATTTTGGCACGCATCAACCTTCGGACGTTCAGGATAGAAGTATTTGCACCAGCAGTCACAGGAATTGGGTGACGTTTGGATGCAGCGTGAATATTTAGGACAAGCTGATGATGTAGAAGAGTATTATGCTAAATTAGTTGGCACTTAACATTGCCCGGAAGATCAGTAATGAGAATAGGGAGAATCTTCAATGGGAGATAGTTGTCGCAATGTACTTCAAGCTGGAAAGAAAAACGTAAACTCCAGAGTAATCTGGAGTCCTGGAAATCAACCCAATTATTTCTTTCCCGATCCCAGCGTCAGAAAACTGCGGACCTTGCGAGGTAAAAAAATTTATTTGAACCGCGGTGGGATTCGAAATCATGACGACTGAACTACGAGGCTGGACGGGAGCTGCTCGTTGCAAGATGTATCATATTGTCTATGTGAATGCTGCGAAACAAATTGAGATGACACTAATTCTGCCAATAATATGGACGTTTTAGACAAAATGCGGTCGATGCTAATTCATTTGTGAATTTCACAGTGCTGGACTACTGCTAATTAAAACAAGAAGCTGAATGTGGAATACTCTAGGCTCATGTAGGATTTAGCGTCTTATAAAATACCTTCACAGAACAATCCATCTCCAGTATAGCCGCTCTGGCAGTGACATGTGAATGACCCGATGTTGTTAGAGCAGTCAGCATGTTGATGGCAATTGTGTTGTCCACTTGCGCACTCGTCGAGATCTACAGAAGTGGACCAAATGTCTTTCGTTATGCCTACCCTACCA